GTAACGTGATTTTGGAGCTAATATCAGAAATTTTGGAGAGAATAACGTTATGTTTTATGGTCCTTATACAATTAGGGGTGAAAAATCATCATATCATGATCACCTAAACTATCGGTAGGTTTATTGGAGAGAATAACGTTATGTTTGTGCTAATTGTGCATTTCTAATTGAGTCTGGCGAACAATGTATATATTTTGATATGAAAGTTAAAGATAAACAGAAACAAAGACACGAGCTGTTCACTTCCTATTGTTTCTAAACGTTTGAAGTTTGAAGCACTCTAGAAAATTTGATTTGCGTTTTAAGCTGAATAGATATTTTCATAATAGTATCTAGACTGTTATTTATTGTTGCTTATTTTGTACTAGTTTTTTTGCAGAATTATCCTAAGCAATAGTTTTGCTCAGGATCAGGAGTTCTGTGTATAGTGTACTGCTCAACAGATTATGACTATTTTTTTCCATATCTTAGTTTGTTGCACCTAGGAGTAGTCTCCCCACTCTAGTCTGAATCTTAGTTCTGCCCTTCCCTGGAGCTTTCCACAACTCACCCTTATGGTTTATTTTTGTTTTCCTATAGCTGACACATTTTCTGTCTGCAGTGGCAAAAGAGACTGAATTTGAGTTTTGGGGATTTGTATTCGTAATGCTTGCTGCTGTTATGTCTGGGTTTCGCTGGTCCATGACACAAATTCTTCTGCAGGTATGATCTTAGTCTCCCATATAATGCAACTAAGAATTTTTAGTATTTCATGGTTAGTTCGTATGTATATGTACATATGTATAGCATTGTGTATATTTATGTCAACACTTACATGTGGTAACCTTGTTTCGTCTCCTGTTTTTTTTCCTGTTTCCGTTCTCTTCATCTTGATGTTGAATCTCGCAATTTGGTTATCCATGATGATCCAAAACTGGCATAAAGAAAGAAACCTACGGTAGGTGCTATTTGCCTTTTCTTATCATTTGTGGACTTCAGTTTCTAGTTTTCTTTTTTAAGTTTATTGACAAGCATCTTTCCCTATTTCACAAGAAGATATATAAAAAGATGTGTGATCCGTCAATGTTCTTAAAAGATTGTTACGCCTGGTAGCTGATAATAATGGAATTCTACTCTTGCATCATTGTCCATCATAACTTGTCCGTTATATGGAGTAAATTTCAGTTGAGATTAGATAATGTCTAATTTACACTCTTTTGCCTAAAATGTGTGCTAATGTTGTTAACTTGTAACGTTTGATAGAGAAAATGTTTCCATGTGAAGTTTCTTTTGACAATGTACGGGGTTTGGCGCATGAGCTATACGGATGAGTTATGCTAATTATAACTGCATCTTACCAAAGACTAATGCAGCAATGCTCATTCACCGAAGTTTTAGAAAAACGCTCAATTCACTTTTATGATAATTGATAATGACACCTGATTTTAGACTCATTTATTCAAAATGTTTAGTTTAAACATCTTATGGAGCCTTCCTACTATTTAAACATTTATTTCCCTCTTAATTCCAGTGTTAATTTATTCTAGTATAATTTCAATGAATTATATCATTGATCCATGTTTTAATTTCCTTCCTCAATTGCTGCTTCTAAACACACCCAGACACAAAAAGGTTCATAAACGAGTGATACTTTTACAGGCTTTTTATAAATAAAAAAAAATTAAACAAATAAATCAATGATACTTCTGACCTTGTGAGAGAGATGTTTGATGCTGTTCATGCACATCTACCTTATCAAATATGATTGAAATTATGTGATATTCAATATGGTAATGTTGGCTTTTTATTGGAGCACTTAAGTTATTCGAGCTAGAGCCAGTGAAGAGTATTATAGCTTTCGCAAATTTTGCATATGAACATATTGCAATATTTCTATTAAGTGGTTCTGTAAATTATAATTGGTATATCAGTTCACTTGTCTCTCTGTGTGTATGTCCGACTTTTCTCTTGTCTTCGTGGGTTCTCTTGAAAACCTAGAAACTCTGCCCATTATGTCTGGGTGTCTTTTCCTCTGGTGATTTCTCACAGATTAAGATCCTTCTCTCTGATTGTTTTGTAGGTCTGAAAAATCCACTTACCTTGATGAGCTATGTTACTCCAGTTATGACACTGGCAACAGCTCTTTCTTCTCTCATGCTGGATCCATGGCATGAATTCAAACACACTAGCTATTTTGATAGTCCCTGGCACACTGTTCGGAGTTGTCTGCTGATGCTGTTTGGAGGAACGCTAGCATTTTTCATGGTAGGATTGAATGGAAGATCCCCTGTTCTGTTATTTTTCTAAATGTTGTCAGTAAGTTAACTTCGTATTCTTGTTACAGGTTTTGACTGAATACATTCTTATTTCAGTAACAAGTGCTGTTACTGTGACAATAGCTGGTGTGGTCAAGGAGGCTGTTACCATTGTGGTATGAGCTTCTCTTTGTCATGATTACTGTTCTTTCAATCACTTTCTTTCGGTCTTGCGCGTGATATAGGCCAAATATTTAGTTTTGATCTTAACCACTTGGTTATGGTGTCTCACGATCTTGGGAATATTGTCTAAGCAACCTGCATCATGTTTATATAAGGGACTTCACTGCATCTTCTTTATTATGTGATTGTACATTGTGACGACGCGATCCCAGTTCTGCCAGAGAATGTTCTGATATATATGGTTACTAAAATTCTAATGCACGCTTCCTCAACCTGGTTTGTTCTTCTTATGCATATATCCAGGTGGCTGTATTTTATTTCCATGACGAGTTCACCTGGTTGAAAGGCGCTGGTCTCATCGTCATTATGGTTGGTGTTGCTTTATTCAACTGGTACAAGTGAGTAGTCTTCCTTCTCCTTTGTCGAATCAGCGAATCATGTCTCTAATATATATTGATTTAAAACCAGAACTTATAATTGGAACTTTCTCAAAAGCAGCAGAATGAAGAAATTTTCCTCAAGCTTTTGCCATCTTCCTCTTTACGTTTTCAGATATGAAAGGATGCAAAAAGGAGAAGTCAGAGAAGATGCCTCGGGTAGGACCTCTACAGAAACCGTCCCTGCAAAGTATGTCATCCTTGAGGAGACAGACGATCAAGAGGACGAAACTTGATAATTCTCGCATGATACGGTTCCTTAAAATGATTAGTGTCGGTACTAAAATCGGTTGGTTCGCAACTGAAAGAGATGACCCCTCTGCAAATTCTGGGTGCCATTGTTGCCCATTGGACAGATTCTGCTGGTGGATGGTGGGATTGGGGGGCTATAGACTCGGGCGTATCTGCAACTTATGCTGGTCTGTACTTTCAGGGGGGAAAATTGCGGTTCTTGTCATCTTCGTTCGGCTGGACGATAGTATATTTAGAAGCTTGTTGGATAACCATGGAAGGGTATATAATTTACTGATACGGCTTCTCTAGCTGAAAAGCTTGTTTGTATCACTGGAATAATCGGACTACATGTTGTAGTAAGTCTCAGAATGTTAGTCGTTAAATAGCTAAAGAACGCCCCCCCGCTCAGCTATTCCATTGTTGAAACTAGGCTCAACTTCAAAATGTAAGAAATATGGTTATGCAAATTGCAACGTTGATCATTAAGATAAAGACGCTCACGTTTGGTCACTAAAAATATTTAAATCCATTCATTATCATTAAGATTAGTTAAACTGTTCAAGTTTAGTCACTTTTTGTTACCTTTCGTTAATCTCCGTTAACGGCGTTAGTTTTTTACTGACGTGACTAACAATTTTTTTTTACGGATGGAATGAGTTCGTTATCTTATACAAAATGAGATTATTTTTCAATTGGATCTATAAATTTTTGCACAGAACTAACAAAAATGGTGATATATTTGAAAATTTTCTGGGTTAGGTGGTAATTTTGTAATTGTTTATTAAACAGTGGTATTTATGGGGAAAAAACCCTTGATCTCGACCAGGTCCAAGTAGGGATGACAACAAAACCCGAACCCATGGGTACCCACCCGACTCAACCCGATCAACGCGGGTAAAATCCGTGTTGACGGGTTTTGGGCCGGGTTTGGGTTTAAACTCGTTCACTATTCACCGGGTTGGGTTGGGTTTGGGTTTAGATAAACCCGGCCCGTGGGTACCCGCTCATCCATATAATCAATTTTTTCGGTATATTTAATATTCTAAACAACTAATCTTATTTATATTTGTGGAGACATGTCTAATTTTTTCTTTTTAATTGTGTAGAATGAAGTTGATGTTATGGAGTGGAGAGTAAAGAAACTTAATTGAAAGAAAGAAGCTTTCAATTAAACATGTTATTTATGGATAATTTGTGATTTGCTTCAATTTTCTTGAGTTTTCTAGATTGGTGTTGAACAATTTGTATAGTTAATTTGTGATTTGCTTGAATTTTCTAGAATGGTGTTTTATATATGGATAATTTTTATGGAGAGATTGATATTTGACTTTAATTTTGATAAGAACTTGTAATTGTAAATTTTTTACGACAAAACCCGTGGGTACCCATGAACCCGCGGATACCCAACAGGTTGGGTTGAGTTTGAGTTTTTCAAACCCAGTGGATTTTACCCCGGATTTTTTTCAAAGATAAACCCATGGGTTTGGATTTGGGTTTGGCAAAACCCGACCCAACCCGACCCATTGCCATCTCTAGGTCCAAGCGTTGCATTTGCATACGCTCTCTCCGAACCCCACCCGTCCCGTCTTAAACCCTCGCGCCGGTCGTTTTGGGGATCAGGCGATCAGCCAGATACCACCTTCCCTTCGGCTAATCTTTGCTCCGGCCGTTATCTGTTCGCCGTCCTTTCTCTGCCGTCCGGCTCTCTCTCACTCTCTGTCGGTACGGAACTTTTTCATCACTACGGAAACAAGAGGGCATTTTTCTTCTCGTTTTAATTTATAGGCTATGGATTTCGTAATTCGTCGAGCAACCTATTACATGAAAGGTATATAGAATTGATAGATATGCATCAATGGATTGGAAGTTATGATTGGTGAATCCTACTTGCTACAGCTGTACTTGACCTGAAATGAAATGGGGATTCACCAAGCGGAAACCCGCTGAAAGTTACATGTTGATGAGAGGTTTCCCGGTTTCTTTGTCCTGTCCTGTACTGTTATTTAGCCTGTCAAGCTTGTTCTATTTTAGGAAGGAAAGGTCAAGTCTTGGTGCTTGATCTGAATTGGTCTGCATTGAGCGGTGAATTGCTCGATTTCTACCTGCAGTGGGATTGTTTGTTTTTCGTCCTTTGCGATTCTGGGTTCGTGCTAGTTAACTGATGATCTCTGAGTTTGGTTGGGAACTATTGGTTTTTCTTAAATTGGGTCCTTCACTGATTAATTGGGTTCTGTTTATGTATGATGTGATTTAAGGCAATGGGTGACAAGAAGAAGAAGACGTTCATGTTCATCAGGCTAATCTCAGCAGCCGGGACAGGGTTCTTCTATGTCAAGAAGAAAAGCTCCAAGAAAGTCATGGAGAAGCTGGAGTTCCGCAAGTACGATCCAAGGGTGAACCGCCACGTTCTTTTCACAGAGGCCAAGATGAAATGAGTGAACCAACAACAATTCTGCTGGTGAGAGTAATGGCAGCCAGGTTTCTCATTCGCTCATGTTTAGATAACTATTTCAGTAGGATTCTGAAACCTTGTTTCTGTGTTCTTGACCGCTGAAACTTTCATAGCGTTCAAGGTTAGGAGATTGGCATCTTGCTTTCGCGTCCTTTATTTTGCTGTGCTACTGGTGAACCTATTGAAGAAGTGAGTAGCATATCTTGTCGAGTAACGAAGTTCATGTGTTTTCTTGGTATTGGTAGAAGGATTTGAACCCCTCTGAAGCTTGGTTTTGCATTCTCAGTTGATGTTAGCTAAGGAATTGAAGCAACTCTAGGTCATCAGATGCCATTTCCCATTTGTTGCAGACCTACACTCTTCAGAATTATACTATTCTACCTTCTGAGTGTCGACGATTACTTCTTAGAATAGCTAGGGTGATTTTCAGCAGAAGATGCCATTTGGTTGATGAGAACCCTCAAAAGAACATCAAATTTTCGATTTGTTGAAGCTATGAATCATACATCTCCAAAGTAACAGAGGGATAAGCAATTACCAGAGCTGGTTCTTAGGTCAGAAGTACTATGTAGAGCATAAACTAATTATGTAACCGGATTATGGTTCCCGGTATTCGAAAACCAAAGTTGATTTCATGCATTGACATTACGACTATTTCTCTTGAAGAGATCCGATTTTCATCCAACAAATTATTGGAGACAACCTTGTTAGAATGATTGTGGTTGATTTGGTGTTCGTTGTGTATCACTCGAACACAGGATTGTCATGACCAAGATGTTAGTGTCAAACTTGAAGAACGTGTATTTTCACTAATTCGGTCGATCAAATTGGCGATATAGGTAGATTGAAATTGTGTAGCCTCCCATGCGGTAGTTAAGAGAGGGCGCTTGGCATTCAAGTTTATATTGGAGATTCATATAAAAGGTTGATGGTCATAGCCATTAAGTCTATTTAGGTGTAAAGTGCATCTCAACCAAAGTTCATGTAAGTGGCCTATAAACTCATGTCTCTCAATATGTGTTGGAGAATCTCCTCACATTTTCAGCATCTAGTTGCAAATATTTTTCTCTACCAATATTTGTGGACTTCTCCTAATAACTTGTACATCTCTCTAGGCACATATGCATTGCCTTCACCAATCTTGCGCATTTATAGGCATACTACATTATTAGTTATAGGTGTATATTCCAAACATATTCCAGAACCATCATATATAATTTACAAGATCTCGAAAGGATATTTGACCGCTTGATTACTTAGTTGGATAAATACTTCATATAGGAATAGGGATCAAATTAATCATAACTAAACGCCCAGGAATTACATTCATTTTCCATTGGTTTCCATAAGAAAAATTAATCGCTCATAACATCCTTTGATCAATTTGATTTTACAAAGGACAATATTATTATAGGGTTAATTGCAAGGATGGTCACTGGGTTTACTAAAATCGTTCATGTTTGGTCACTGCAAATATTTAATTTCATTCATGGTCACTAAGATTAGTTTAATAGTTCAAGTTTGGTCACTCTCCGTTAGTCTTCATTAGTTTTTGCTGATGTGGCAGTCAACTATTATAGTTGACCGTTAAATGAGTGACGTGGCCAATAAAAAAAATTAAATATTTACAATTTCCACCTCATTTTACAACTATTAAAAATAAAAATAAAACTTACCTCCTCCCCAAAACCGTCGCCACCACGGATCTCCGATTCAGCCTCCTCTCCTCCAACTCCTCCCCCGCATTCACGCTTTTCGCACCCCCTGACCGCGAAAAAGGTAAGTTTCACGCTCTTCGCCCCCACAGAAAGGCTGCGATCAGGGAATTGTTGAAGACGCGCGCTCCAACAAGCTTGTTGTTACAGAGCTAGCCGTTGTTGAAGTGACACTGCCCTTTCCACCTCGCCGGGGCTGGACCCATCCCGTGGTCATCGTAGCTGTCGCTCTCCGGCCAGGCGCCGGTGTCGACGACCCCGATGATCATCCCTTCTCCGTAATTGGACGACTCCCAATCTGGAGAGGAAACGGCGGTGAGTCCCAGGAAGTCGGTCGAGTGCGTGGTGTCGTATTTGACTGGTGAGTTGTGAATGGAGTGGAGGAAGCCCGGAGAAGCTTTCATTGATTCGAGCTCCGAGTCGGTGAGGGAAGCACAGAATCCGTCGAGGACGTTGGAGTAGATTAGCTTGGAAGCAGGGGATTCTTACTGCGAAATCGACGACAGAGAGGCTAGGTGCCAGTGGTGTGGAGATTGGAAGGCTTTTGGCATGACATTGGAGTTCATTAGAACAATATGCTGCTGCTCGGTTTGGACTAAAGTGAGAAGAAAGGTGGCGAAAAAAGGTAAGTTTTATTTTTATTTTTTAATAGTTTTAAAATGAGGTGGAAATTGTAAATATTTAAATTTTATTATTTTTTATTGGCCACGTCACTCATTTAACGATCAACTATAATAGTTGACTGCCACATCAGCAAAAACTAACGGAGACTAACGGAGAGTGACCAAACTTGAACTATTGAACTAATCTTAGTGACCATGAATGGAATTAAATATTTGCAGTGACCAAACATAAACGATTTTAGTAAACCCCAGTGACCATCCTTGCAATTAACCCTATAATTATACGTAGATTATATGTTAAGCAAGCGCCTGTAGCTCAGTGGATAGAGCGTCTGTTTCCTAAGCAGAAGGTCGAAGGTTCGACCCCTTCCTGGCGCGCTTATTTTATCTTTTTTCCCTGCCTTCTGTTTTCCAAAATGCTGTTGTTTTGGGCTCTTGGCAGCCCGCAGTTGAAATCATTGAAATGGATCTGGGCCTAATACTGTAACCAATTGTGGCTAACAAATTTTGAACGTGATCCTAATCAATGCATGGGCTGGGCTAACCCACCATTTGTTTCTCTTGTACATCTGACCAATAAGCCCGCGATTTCACCCATATTTAGGCTTGTCTCCAATTCAAGAGGTCAAATTTGAACAAAGGGATACTTCCATTAATGGTGTGCACGATTGGATGACTCTTGTTTGGTCACTTGCCAACCAGTCGAGTTTTTACTTAAATTGAGTTTGGAAAGTTTATAAATATTTGCAGCTTAGCTCGAACTCAAATTTTTATAATTCAGCTTGAGTTCGACTCGGTAGAGTTCGGTAAATGCTCAATATAGCTTGTCAAGCTGAGTACGAGCTCGGCTCAAAATGAGCTAGATTTGAAATCATTATTGATGAAAAATGTGTCCACATAAGAGTTTAAATCATAAAAAAAAATACTAGAAATTATAAATAACATCTAACTTCCATGCATATTCATATTCATATTAACAAGATAATTTTCATGTTCACAAGAGTAATTAATCCTTCCACAATCTCTCAACAAGCCACCGAGTCAAACTAACTCGCGAGCTTATAAAGCTGAACATGGTTTAGCTCAAACTTGGCTCATTTGCTAACGAGTCCACTCGTGAGCCGGCTTGTTAAATAACAAGCTGAGTGTCGAATGAGTTTTTCTCGATTCGAACACCGAGTTGCTCGCGAATGGCTTGGCTCATTTGCTTTGCAGCCCTAGCCACGACGATTCTAAGGTGAACAATTGTGGGCAACATAATCATCTTCGGTGACATTTGAGTAAAACGTGTTTGAAGAATATATGCAAAACAAATAGTATGTAATAAGGATTATAAAGAGATGACTCTTTGATATAGGGAAGACATGAGTCCTCAAAGACCAAGGAAAACTGTTAGAAACAAAGTTTCTAACGGGTTATTGATTGGATGATGTTTGAGAATTTAGGGATTTGGAAAGGTAGAATTAGGGATTTGGAGAAGAATTGGGGAAGAACAGAATTGGGAATTAGGGATTTAGAAGAGGAAATTGGGGATCGAGGAGAAGAATGGCCGTCGGCCTAGGGATAGATGACGAAATTGAGAGAGATTAGGGTTTGAGATACTGTTCTGAATAATTGATCTTGCTTGATTATGAATAAAACGCAAAGTACATATTTATAACGGAAGATAGAAAAACCTAATATTAAACCTAATTCTACTAAAAGAAGACTAACCATATTTAAATTAACCTAGTAATAACGATAATGATAATGATGATATAGAAACCCGTTTTCCTTAGAAAACGTGTTTCTAACATCCCATCCCCCTTGAGATCAACCTTGCCCTCAAGGTTGATAAACTCGACCCATTTCTTCACGTCTACCGTGCAATCCGTGCCTTGACTCCTCCGCCTTTTGCGCTTCCTTTTCTTCCAATCACACTCCAACTCTTCACTTATTCCTCTTGCACTGATCTCCCCGTGTTGGTTTATCTCTTCAAACTTCATGTTCATGGGCCCACTCTTTGCTTCCTCGACAAACTCAATTGGCGACGACTCCTTTGTCGTTGGCTTCACCCTCCAATAACTTAAGCAATTCAAAGATGATTTTAAGAATCCATCCTTAAGTACCAATTCATCAAGACCTTCAAAAAAATTTAGTGAATCTGGTTCATTACTTAGTAAGCCCATTGTCTTCAGAACATAGCCCACGTTGGGCTTAATCCTCTCCTGCAGATACCCCACATGGGGCTCAATTTTCCCATGGATCTTCGGCCCATTCTCATGCTTTTTCTCGGCCCAAATCACTTCCACCTTCGGCCCGCTCTGCTGCTCTGCCCTCAACTCGCACCATGGGCCCGGCCAGCCTCTTACGAGCCCAAGTCGGCCCATCCTTACTAGCGGCGCCTCACAACATGCCCAGCCCAACGAGTTCAGCTGCTGCACTACTCGACCCAAGGATGGCACCCTAGGGTTTGCGAGAAGAGGAACCCAGCCACCACCACCCTCCTCTGTCTTCTGCTTCCTCATCGCGCCGCCGCCGCTCATTGCCATCTCCTTCCTCCCTTCATCCTCCGGCGACGCCTCATTCCCCGGCGGTTTCTTTATCATCTCCAAACTCTCCGCTTCTTCTCTTTTCGGCGTCGAGCGGGACACCAGGCAGCAGGGAGTCTCCGTCGTCGCGCTGCTCTGCCTTCCTTCCCCTTCGATCGAAGACTCAGCGGAAACCGTCGTCGATCGCCGCGCCCCATCCGAAGTTTGCGTCGACTCACCCCGGCGAGTCAGAGGCGATCCCCCAACGGCGATATCCGACTCCTGTTCCGACCTTTTGGCCATCATCGGCTCCAATCGGGCTGCTGGTGCTTGGGCCGCTGCCGTAGAGGGTTGCGGTGCCGACAAATTAACCCGTCGATTCGCCCCACACTCCACTTTTGCTGTGGCGGCATTCCCGGTCGGCAGCTCCTCGGAGCTCCAACGACGGCCGATGCGCCGAGCCCGTTCATGCAGCTCTGCCCACGACAGGTTCGAGAGCTTTGAGGAGCTCATCGTCGAACCAGTTGTAGAACTCGTCCCCGGTTGAGAGTTGTGGTGAACTCAATTCTCGAACCGGGCTCCGATACCAAATGTTAGAAACAAAGTTTCTAACGGGTTATTGATTGGATGATGTTTGAGAATTTAGGGATTTGTAAAGGTAGAATTAGGGATTTGGAGAAGAATTGGGGAAGAACAGAATTGGGAATTAGGGATTTAGAAGAAGAAATTGGGGATCGAGGAGAAGAATGGCCGTCGGCCTAGGGATAGATGACGAAATTGAGAGAGATTAGGATTTGAGATACTGTTCTGAATAATTGATCTTGCTTGATTATGAATAAAACGCAAAGTACATATTTATAACGGAAGATAGGAAAACCTAATATTAAACCTAATTCTACTAAAAAAAGACTAACCATATTTAAATTAACCTAGTAATAACGATAATGATAATGATGATATAGAAACCCGTTTTCCTTAGAAAACGTGTTTCTAACAAAAACACATTATATACCAATTAGTTTATTCACCATCTATACTATTAAACCTATAAATGAGTAGTCATTAATCAATATGAAGTTGATGATAAATAATTTAATGTGCGCAACCTATCATAGTGAAAACATGAAGAGATTATCTGGTTCAGACTGCTATGTGAGTATGCAATAGTGTACCCTAAACTCTAATTGAAGAATCTCATATCCTCATTCGCTTAATCCAAAACCAATTGGATAACTTTTTATGTATGTATGTTTACACCAAAAATAATTTTATTAAATATCAAATGTATTATTTATGAATATTTGGGTTGTTTTAAATAGCTCGGTCCATGTATAACGGATAGTCCTAGTTGATGGGTTGGGTCATCTGTTTTGTGGATAGTAATCGGGCACGAGATTTTCATCCAATGTACTTTGTTCCCATATAGCCATAGTTAGTAAATACTCCGTTTAATACACGTATATGTACCCGTACGTACTTTATCCGTTTAAAACTTCCGTATCCGTATTTTTGTCAAGCCGTTTCATTTTTGTCCGTTCATTTGGTGGCTCCCGTACTAAACACGTATAAAATCCGTATAACACGTTTTATATCCGTATTTAATGAATTAAATTGTTAACTTTACTATTATTTATATATTTATTTATTTTAAAAAATAATTTATTTTATATATTTATGACTATTAACGTACTATTAAACGTAACACTAGCTTAGAAATGAAGTAAAATACCCGTACGTATTATATCCGTAACTTTCCCGTACCGTATTTTACTAACTATGCATATAGCATCGATATCATCCATTGTGTCGTCTCATTCTGTATGGGATCATCTTTGGTATCTGGCCGATGGTTGCCATGGCATGGCGTTGTGTCAATGTATCTTTCGAAGACTACCCACGGAAATAACAAGTAACAACCAACTCTCGAGGGGAGGGGAGATAGTGGATGCTTCGTGGCAGGGGCAGAGCTAGAATTCGGTGTTCTGAGGGGTCGGAATATTTTATTATGTTACTTCGAAAAAAGATAAAAATTAAGAAAATTTATTTTAATATTATTATTATCGCATTTTTAGATTATTAGAGTTACTCAAAATAAAATTTATAGTGTTGTTTATTTTATGTAGACAAAATTAAATATGTCATATCTGTAAGTTCTTTCTATGAATTCATTAGTTTGTATGCTTCTAAAATTAGTATTGATTTGACCCGTTCTGATGGCAAGTGTAGAAAATGTATTTTCTATCTTTTAGTCGGGGGACGAAGACATGATTCAACTTTCATAAGGGAGGTTTATTATAATAACATCAATTCTAGATGATCAGAATGAACTAAAATTTTGTATCACGATACAATATAAATGAAAGAAAGTAAATAAATTAATAGTGCATTTCAATATTTTGTAACACATTCTATTTTTCATATTTGAAAATAATCATCTTGTCTGGTATCTTCTTAAAAAAATTCTTCATACGTTATTTACCCGAAGAGTATTCTTTAAAATTTTAATTTGAAGAACTTAATTGATATGATTTTATAGTATAGAATTTAAGAAAACAAAATATACAAGTTGATAACTTATGAGACTAAAAGACTGAAACCATATTGAATTTAATAGAAATAAAAAGAACTACATGATGAAAAATGAATGGGAAGTTATTAAAATTTAAAAGTTAAAATCACAACATCTGCATGCAATGGGTTTCGAACCCTTCGGTTTAATAGAAATAAAAAGAACTACATGATGAAAAATGGATGAGAAGTTATTAAAATCACAGCATCTGCATGCAATGGGTTTTGAATCGGGTTTCGAACCCTTCGGTTTAATAGAAATAAAAAGAACTACATGATGAAAAATGGATGAGAAGTTATTAAAATCACAGCATCTGCATGCAATGGGTTTTGAATCCTTGACCTAAAGGATGTATTATCAAGTTTGCATCCGCTAGGCTGTCTTGTTTTTTGTTTCCATTTTGCACAATAATACTTATATACATTTTCATTTATTTTGTACGAAATTTCCAAATACCGATACTTTTTATACGTAACTTTTGAAATTCTCCGGGGGGGGGGGGGGGGCGAGACCTAGTGTAGCTCCGCCCCTGCTTCGTGGGAATCAGGTTACATGAATCGGGTGGTCTGAGTTTAGTCATTTTAATCACCCGACTCATGCACTACAATTTGAAAATTATTAAACCCAAACCCATCCAAAAAAAAATTACGGTTTGTTTCTAATTGGGTTGGGTCGGGTTGGCGATATTTTTAAGTAAAAACTCAACCCAACACAAAATCTGTAATTATTCTACACCATAAAAATATTTTATAACTAAATAAAATTTCAAACAAATAAACCGAGGTGAAAGGTATCAAAATTCACAAATGTTGTTTAAATTTTAATAAAATGTGATTTACTTCAACATATGTTTAGTTTTTTTCACGACATTTGTTGAAATAGGCTAAAAAAGTTATAAATGAATAACCCATAATATAGTATTCTATTAAAATTGTACACAAGAAAAAGGATTACATGAATCATAGCTATATTAAATTTATGTCTAAACTTTAAACCGAAGAATGCATTAGATTAGGGAGACCATAAAAGAAAAATATTGCAAAATATCTTAATTTTCTCTTAAGTATGGCTCTATACGACATAAATATTTTTGGATACGAACTCATACCAATAGTTGGAATACGGGTTGGGTTGAATTCTATGGGTTGTGTAATTCAAAATCCAAACTCAACCCAAAAAAGGTGGGTTGTAAAAAAAAAACCCTCACACAACCCAAAACTTTCATTTTAGCGATAAATATGGATGAGTTGGATCGGGTTGGACAGATGGATCGGTTTACGGGTACGATTTACGGGTGTGTTTGTTCACTTCTAAGAGCCACCTTCCAAAAAGGATGAGAGAGAGCGGTTAGAAAGCTTTCCGCATCAAAATTTCAAGCAGTGTTACGGTGAAGGGATGAACAAATCAAATTACAAAACTGCTTTTCTAAACTATATATCACTAGAGACCTTTGCACAGCATTAGAGACCTTTTGCAAAGTTCAATCTATAGTTGTGGAGCTCTTGAGAAATTATAATGGGAATAAAAGAAATAGTAATGTAGATTCCTTACATCGATCACTCTCGTTCGAATAATGTTTAAAGATGTGTTGACTCTCGTTCGAATAGTGTTTAAAGATGTGTTGAGCGCCAGTGGCGGAGGCAAGATTTCAAACTACCCCTGTCCTTTTTTTCAGAATATATATAATATTTTATAAATATAATTAAAATTAATAATATCTAAATAATTCATTCACAGAGAAACAAAAAACTGATTAATACTATTATTGTTTCATAAATAACCAGGACGAGTTTTCATATTATGAAAGAAATGTAAAATACATTCATTGTTTACACCAAAATATGGTGATAATTCCTAACGAGCTATTGTGAAATGATAGTGTCATGAATGAAACCAATAATTTTTTTTTTGAATTAATGAACAAGCAATGAGTTATGTTGTAATGTTAAAAAATATCCTTATGTTACTTGTAAGTGTTTAATTCAATCTGTATAAATATATGTGGGGTTATTTTTTTCCCTCCTCAAAAATTCCCCTGTCCTGGGACAAACACCCCTGCCTCCGCCTATGGTGTTGACCAAGTGACAGTTATCTTTTTTTCTTAAAGTCAATGTGCATTGATCAATACATCATTTGTAAATCCCAACCATCCCAACCAAACACAACCTTTTCGACTTCCTACAGCAGTCTTAGATGCGTCTTCTCTTACGAGAAAGGCTAAAACGCACACAACCTATAGTAGAGCACTTCTACTATGCTATATAGTATTGGTGCTTTAATGTACAACTTAAAGTTGTACTATAACATTAAATGTATAAGTTTAGGTTGTACCATAAAGCAATTTGTACCATTATGTTATGGTACAACTTTACAACTTGAAGTTGTACCATCACATAAAGGTACAAGTTCAAGTTGTACCATAAAAGAATTTATACAAAAAGTATATGTACAATATGAAGTTGTACCATAACGTAAATGTACAATTTTAAGTTGTACCATAAAAGCAAAACCCTATAGCACCAATACTATATAGCATTGTAAAATTTCTCAGTGAAAACTGAAAACTAACAAACAAACTTCTAAAATTACACTCCCAAACAGCATAATTGGGAATCCACAAAAGCGACCAAATAATACCAGATAACCAAAAGATACCATGAATGCTAATTGACGAACCTTCCTTTATTCGCAAGAAAAAAGATACCAGCATGAGGAAGGATGTCCGTTGTAATGAAAGGAACAAGAGTTGACAGAAAGCATAAGCCAAAAATGAAAGAAGGGCGCATCCTTAAACATCACATTCATCAACTCAAATATTTGGTACAGTAAACCTCCAATAAGCAATCCCGATAAGCTCTAATTCATGTCCCGCACCAATCGACAGAAGATACAACAAACAAGTTCATGAATCTTAATTCCTAACCCCTTCTTTAATGTAAGAGTCATGCATCCACAATCACATCGAAATGAGAATACTGAAATGCCACTCTAAGAATTCTACTGGGAATCCATTGAATATCCATGGCTTCATCATCCGAAGTAATCGTTTACATTTGAAACATCAAAGAACAATCAAACTTAGCAATTGGATTCTCAAGCAGAGAACAGATGCACATGGTGGCCTCTAATGATGGTAGATAGATAACTAATTGAAGTGCAACCTAAGACAGAGGAGCTATATATGTCTACCGAATTCAAATTGGGTAAATTGTTGTTTCCCCTGTGTACCATGATAGCTATGGCATCCAAAAGTAGGGGAAAGAAAAACACAAACAAACGCTGTAAGCAGCAGCAACATGATGAGAACAAGTGAGAGAGCTACTCAGTGATCAGTATGCAAGACTGAAGTAGTTCCGTCTGGATGTCACTCCACTTTGGGCTAAGGTTGATTCAAAGACCATCAGGAAGTCTTTTCTGACTGCTTCTCATGGTTTCTCCATGGATTCAAAGCATCCCTCATCGCTTGAGCTTCAGGAGTATTCTCCCAAGCACGTTTCTCGGACTCCAGAACCGTCACCTTATCGTCTACAAAAGGATGGAATAAACACGTCGAAAATCTCACATCAGACAATAGAAGACACAGCAATGCCAGCTAACAAATTAACTCTCTTATGCCAATTCACAAGGAGATGGTTTCAATAGGGTTTCAAACTCTACCAGCTAAACATCATGAACAAGAAGCCAGTGAATGTTTTCATTCCAACAGCAATCGGAACTCAACCCGTGTCTTGAGATTCAATCTTGAAGTAGAAAGATGGATGCTTTTGAAGTCCCCCAAAAATGGCATTCACTATTCCAATTAAGATACTAAACAGTGCATGATTTAACAGCAACTTAAACACCACAAATACACACCCAAACCCTAAAAACAAATCTAACAACAGCAATTCACGCTACAGAGCTTATCAGAGAGTTCAATCGATGGCAATTCATAGACTAGTTGTGTTGCCGTAAATAAATTTGCATTACTAGGAAGAAAGTCGTTCGATGTATTGATAAAAAAAAAAGCTAGATGCAGTGAATCGAAAAAACCAGTGCAAGAGAAGGAACGGGAGAGAGAGAGAGAGAGAGAGAGAGAGAGAGACAGGGCGGGGGAAAGGAGAATTCTCACACAGAAGCCCGTCTTGATCATGAAGAACTCCATGGAAGCTCCGATTAGAGCAGAACCGGCGGCTATCTTCACATACCAGTCTAGAAACTTCATTCTCAGCGCCGGCAAAGGAATCAAAGACCTCTAGTAAACAAACAATCTACGATTCCAGAGCTCGTCCAAACTGAGCGCAGCAGATACCTTTCTTCGATGCCGAGTCACGGAATCGGGTGACAGGCCTTTCTCACAGGGATGGTTCGCGAGTTGATGGAACGAGTTCAGTCGCTGGGCCGAACTTATTCATTTCCTCCACAGCGAGTAGCAGGCGGCTGCTGGGGAAGACTCTCGGATCGTAAGTCGTAACTTTGGGCTTCACTCTCTTGAGTTACAATTGTCAATTAACATGTTTAGGGTTTTAGGGTGAATTGATAATTGCTTTGTGCTACATTGGTCTATAACATCTATAATAATTATCTTTCTCCAAAAATTTGATTTATTGAGACAAATTAGTTATGCATGATATTAGAATTGATTTAGGCAAGTGATTGTGTGCTTGAATCTTCACGACTTCCAATATCAACAATTAATTTAAAGCACATGTTATGATAGGTCTATGCAAACTTCAAAGTTCAAATGCATAAAATTGGTTTTCATTTGAAGGGCGTGTAATATGGATCCACAATATATAGAGGCGAAATCAGAAATCTGAACAAGTTAGACTAAAAATGTGCGTTTGAGGAATTTGAACCATGATCATTAAGAATGGGGCTACAGCCTTACCCACTAGTCTATTTTTCAAATTTTTAATATAAATGTTACATTAAAATTTACTTATTTTTGAAAGTTGAGGGGGCTATAGTCCCTCCAGGATACAACGTGGCTCCGCCACTTGTAACACACACGTGTTGATCTTAGTTTTTCTTTTTAAAACGGAGTGCAGAGGACCGTGTAATATAGATTGATTTTTGTTTGATGGGCCGTGTAATATAGATTCCTAATTAACCTTCTTCCAATCAAATAATCATAAAACATGTGTAATTCATCTATTGAGCTGATGAACTAATTAATTAAAGAAACGTGTTTAAATTCATACCAAATAATAAAAACGTGTGTAGTAATATGATGATAGCATTATTATGATTCTTGTATCGAGAATATGTAACTACCATTTCCAAAACAAATGAGAAATCGGCTCCAACGAATATTTTACTAAAAAAAGGCTAAATTACAAGTTTGGTCACTCGAATTACATAAATCTTTCACGTTTATCACCCAAATTACTTTTCTTTCTTATTAGCCACTAACTTTACGAATCCTTTTACCGTTAGTCACTGACCGTTAGTCTCCGTCAAATTCCGTTAACTCTGTCAATATTTTGATGACGTGGCAAACGGAAATGCTGACTGGACAGTTAACTCAATAACATATCAATTTAAAAAATAAAAATAAATACAAAAGAGACAGAAGCTCTCCTCCAACCAAAATCATTTTTCCCCTTATCTCGCCGTCGGAAAATCCACCCTGGTTCTGTGTCCCCTTAGCTCTGCTCTTCCTCGACTTCACTCGTCCTCCCTCTTCTCTTCTTCATTCTCTCTGGATCGAGCCGAGCAGAAAGAAAGAACATCAAACCGTTCCATTTTCTCTCTCTCTCCCATCCTTCTCGATCTGCGTTCTCCTCTCTTTGTGGGAGCTACGAGAGAAATGGAAGAAAGGAAAAGATAACGCCAGCGACGAGGACATCGGCAGTCGACGCCGGCGCTGATGATGTAGATAAGGAAGGTCAGAGGTAAGTCCCCTTTCGGGTTGCATGAGGACTTTTATGTTTGATTTTGTTTATAAGGTATCTTAAGGTTCCAATTGATTTTTCTCGTCTCTCGCCAATGGCGGATTGACCGGAAAAATGCTTGCTATCCAGAAAAAAGAAAGAGATGGGATCCATTCGCAAGCTCACAACATCAAAGTCCTCGGCGTCGGCGACCAAGTCATCATCCTGACTCACGGCTTCGGCATCAAGCTTTTCCTCAAACCCATCCTCCTCTCCGGCTCCCCAGGTTCAGTTGATTCATTCAATCAATTGAATCTTCAAATTAGGTTTAACTATAAAATTCCCAATTTTATACAAATTGCAATAAATTCTAGGTATTTGAACAATGTGGACTACTTCAGGGGATTTGAGCAAGACGACTAGGACCAGCTGTTCCAGGCGATACAGTTGAGCCGACTTCGTGCTCATGTTCTTCGATTGATGGAGGACCCCACTTTTCCATATCTTTGTTGACGATGTCCCTCCCGGTGCCCTCGGTTTCTTGACTAATTGTTTAGTGCCGCCACCCAAGAATGATGGGAATGGGAATGGTGATGGCGGCAGTGGGAATGATGGGTATGGCGACGACAGCGTCGGGAAGGCCAGAACAACGGAGGTGGCGGTGGTGAGAAGAAGAACGGCGACGGGATCAAACGAAAGGATAGCGATGTTATTATTTATTTAATTTTTTTAATTTTTAAATTGACATGTCATTGAGATAATGGTCCAGTCAGCAGTTCCATTTTGCCATGTCATAAAAAAACTGACGGAGTTAACGGACTTTGACGGAGACTAACGGCCGGTGACTAATGGTGAAACGATTGGTAAAGTTAGTGGCTAATAAGAAAAAAAAGTGATTTGGGTGGCAAACGTGAAATATTTATGTAATTTGAGTGACCAAACATGTAATTTAGCCCTAAAAAAAAAGGAGCTTTATGGGAATCTAAATTTGGGCATGATTTTGACACATCGATATAATATTTGAAGAGCTGAAGTTAACGGCCGGGCTCGTTTGAGATTCCATCGGCCGGCTGGAAAGCGTCACTGCCTACTGTGCTCGGCCGGCGTTTCTTCTTTCTCCTTTATGCCGTCTCTGCACTTTCTTGCCAGCCAGCCTCCATGTTTCAGGTCGATCGAGCTGTTAGGTTTTCCTTATTTACCTCCTGAAAATTGTATTATTCTCTTAATTAATTTGGATCATAGTTAGTAAATACTCTGTTTAATACATGCATATGTACCCGAACGTAATTTATCCGTTTAAAACTTTTGTATCCGTATTATTGTTAAACTGTTTCATTTTTGTCCATTCATTTGATGGCTCACGTATTAAACACGTATAAAACCCGTATAACACGTTTAATATCCATATTTAATGAATTGAATTATTAACTTTACTATTATTAATTTATTCATTTATTTTTAAAATAATTAATTTTATATATTTATGACTATTGACGTACTATTAAACGTTACATTAGCATAGAAACGAAGTAAAATACTCGTACATATTTTATACGTAACTTTCCCGTACCATATCTTACTAACTATGCTTTGGATATTTCTATAAAAAAAAAACTATGCTTTGGATATAAATGAGAATAATGTGAATTCAATCGAGAGTATCATGTTATATGTGTACCACTGCTAGGTTTTCCTGATTGATCTCCTGAAAATTGTATTCTTCTATTTGTCGAAATACATTGTTTGTTTTGTGTTTTAGGTGTTGGATGGTAAGTAACGGAAACCCATATAAATATGAATACAAGATTACCACTAAATCTTGGAATAGGAAAGGCAAACAACAAAATATGAAATTGAAATGTGAAGTAGTGCCAAAGTTCACATAGTCTAATGGTGAGACCCTTAGTAGACGCTCATTTGCGAAGTGACAGATCTCGAGTTTGATCCTTATCAAGGTTCATTATGGTGTTCTCAAAGACATTTAATGGGGACCTTTGTGGAGGGCTCGAAAGGCTCTCAAACAGGTGAACCTTCAGATTTGATCTCACTCCGTCATCGCTCAAGCTGTGTGTTGATTTTTTTTCAACCCTCTATGTTTATATGTTTGGTTCAATTCTCTGCCGTTTTGTTGTTTCATGATGAAAATTGAAACCATGACTTCGTAATAAAAATAATTGAAAAATAGGCTACGTAAACGCAATTAATGTATGCTAACCAAATGACTAATGTCACTTTTTAAAAACTTATCACAATCACCAAACTCGCACTTAAAAATGAATATTTAAGTACTAATATAGTGAATATATGCACAAAAAAACTTTCAAAATTAGTCATCGTAGTATATATTATTATATAATGAATAACTATTTAGCATAACAATAAAATTCCTAAATTCAAAATTCTTAACCATCCGTTATTTGAATCAAATTAATTTTATAGACATCTTGTATCTTACAAATTGTCCAAAAATCTCCATGATAACTAAAACTGTCTAAACATTGATAGCCATTTTTGTACCTAGGTACACATAATGAAGACATCAATCTAATAATATTGAAACTACCCATTCTATAATAATAAGTTGAATTGTTGAAATATCCACATTAAAGAGGTCTTAACATTTTTTTTCTTATGAATGATACGTGCATATATTAAAAGGGAAATAGATCACAAACTATGATTCGTCCCCAAGAATGACAATGATAAAAAGCATAGTATGTTTGACAAGAAACTTACATCCACCTAATATGAACATCCTTCCTTGAAGTGATCAACTAGTCCATATATCTAATAATAATAATAAGGTTAGAAGGTACGATACTAAACCAATAGTGATATAAACCTCAACTCTACTGCAAGCTAAATTTCGTAACTCAATCGCCACTCTCTACTTGTACCCCTATCAAATGCTCTAACCCAACCCCCAACTAAATGATCAATCTTATACAAAAGTATAATGTTTGGTTTCTCACATTATCTAAAAACCCTATCACTTCTCTCATTCCAATTACACCAAACCAAATCAAGCATAACTAAACCAAAAAATAATCAGAGTGGATGTCAGCTAATCAATCCCTCACAAGACCGCAGGCACAAGCATCCCCAAAGATCCTAGGAGCGGAGCAAACAAAGAAAGAGGTCTTTAACATATCCAGCCATGCTACCTTATCCTAGCCCTCCATTTGCCAAACACATAAAATTAAGAATCAAACAACCTCGTAATTTTGTATTCTCATTCTCCACAGTACTAATTTTGCATTAGCATGAACTAGGAATATTTCTTACCGTCTTATAAATGGAAAATTCTGGCGGTCGGTTTCCACTCTATAACGAGACAACGGCATGGACCTTAATTACTTGTATAATAATATGATAGGAATTTGTTTGTCTCCCACCTTCCCACCTAAACCAACCAGTTTACAGAAACAAGTAATCAAAAGTTTCAACAGTTGTTTGAGAAAATGGGTCATAATAAGTCATAACCCAGTTGTTGTTTAGACTTAAAGGTCCCTTCTTTTCTAAGTTTTCTACACTGGGAGGGAAATTTGGCAATTTCCCTTCTGTTTCCCCCATTAATGCTTGGGTTTTAAGTTCTAACATGCCCTTGTAGTCTTGTGGGGTTAGTGCTGATTGTCCTGACTTGCTTATGTCTCTTTCTTTCTCTTTTCGGGTACTGGT